TTTAACAAATCGTAGTTTAAATTACCGTAGGCGATTGGTCCGAAATCAGAGTGGTCTATGGCGCCGTCCTGCCCCAGTCACGTGTTTGTTCGAACCATTGCACTATTCATTTTCTGTCACGGCATGAATTAGGGGGAGTTCTTTTCTTCGAAACGACATACGAGGTGGATTTTTTTTTTTTTTTTTGAAGTTACCTTATAGCATTTACCTCTATAGGCCCTATAAAGCAGTGGGTGATTAAATTCAGTTTTTCGTCTCCTAGACTGGTTGCCAACCAAGGCTATAGGAACCAGTTTGTCCTGCTATTTACCCACACGTACGAGAAGAGATGGATTCATAATCCCAAGTGAATGCAATGAACTCGACAGGAATTCAAAATCGGCTTTCCAATTTTTCAATCCACCATAACACGTCCTTTAGATTTTTAGCAAACAAGAAAAAAATCAAAACGGTTAATCTAATTCTTAGAAATAATTCAGCATCTCAAAAATCCACCCGATGTAAAAATAATTTTGTTTATGAATTCGCACATTAATAAAATGGAAACAACATTAAATTACATTGGCCACACATGCACCACACTCTCTCGTAAGTTGACTTGTTATTTGTCAAAATTTAGTGCAATTTTCATACATATCACAAATGACCAAAATAATAAGACAAATTATAATATATAAAGCCAAAATATTAAATATCAGTTTGTGTTTGTGTGTGTGAGCGCACATCTATTATTATACATTTATACAGTTTTTTGTTTAGGGGTTTTACTAAATAGTAACATATCTGGGACCCTAACAGGTTTCTGTCTATAAGTATGCAAATATATATAATGTGTATATGTATAAAACTTTGTGAAAACTGAAATAGAACATTAAAAGTTTGCGGTGTCTGTTAACTCTATAGCGCCTGAAGACGATATTTAATATGTAGAATATGTCCTTTAGTCAGTTTTAACAATGTCTTCGAAGACAAAAATTATTTTCAACATTATCTCCCTCAATATAACGGAAACGAATATAAACGCAAAATTGCCACAGTCCGTTTTATAGTTGTTAATTTGTAAATAACCAAGAGATTGAATTTGGTTTATTACGACTTAAGATGATAATCTTCACTTTGAAAACGGGTTAAAATTAATCCTGTAATTATGATAAAAGCATTGATAACTCTTAAAAATAGGTCAGGTTATGCAACTCTGTTTATAGATAAATCTTTTCAATAATCACTTCATCAATGTTAGCAAATAGCTAATAGTTTGGGGGGACTTCTGATTCTCCATACTTCCAAAATGATTTTTTATATTTTTAAGGCTAACTTTTATGCCTAAAATCATTTATTAAATGAGCGATTATTTTTATATGGGTCAAATATTTCAAATGAGCCATTATTTATATATGAGTCATTATTTTCGTACGAGACAAATAATTTAAATGAGCTATTATTTTTATATGAGCCAAATATTTTAAATAAGCCAAATAGTTTAAATGAGCCATTATTTTTATATGAGCCATTATTTTTATATGAGCCAAATATCTTTGAATAGTTTATGAAAATCAGATATTCCTTAACGTTGATTTTTTACAGCTTATCAACACTTTGCAAGGCATTTCAAGCCAGAAAATAGATTTTTTAGACTGTAAGAACTTTTGTAGATAATAAAGATCATGCTAATTAACGCATAACTAGGTGGAGGAGAGATGGATTCATACCTTTCCCAAGAGTATTTGCTTATAAGTGAATATAACGAACCCAACTGGAATTGGAACTCGGCTCTCCGATTTCCAATTCCAAGACGTTATCAATTAAACCACCCGCACATCCAAAATTACAGCGTCCTGGGTATGACGATAACCTACATCCGCGTCCTGAGTAAGACGATAACCTACATCCGCGTCCTGGGTAAGACGATAAACTACATCCGCGTCCTGGGTAAGACGATAAACTACGTCCAACAGCAAGGTCTCTGATATGACGTTTTTGAAAAAATAATGTTGCCAGCTGTACGTTTTTGAAAAAAAAATAATATTACCAGCTATACGTTTTTGAAAAAATAATATTACCAGCTAAACATTTTTGGGGAAAAAAAAAATAACAGAAATGGATTTTTGACAAAATATTACCAGGAAAAAAAAAGTTGTCAGCATTAAGTGACCCATTGAGGTTGGTATGCCGTAAAACAAACCAAACCAAACCAAAGTTACAGCACCTGGTATTCCCGTGCATTTACCCATCTAGATACTGACCAGGATCGACGTTGCTTAACTTTGCTGATCGCTCTAAAGTTATAGCTGTTTATCGATTTATCTATTGAGCATATATTATAAATATGTTACTTCTTGTAATTAATACATCTGTCTAGTTCTTAACTTGCCAATCTCTCTAACTTTCTAAGCAATCGGCCATTTACAGATCGATTTATCCAATCATAGTGTAAACACTCTTTGTCTCGCTTTTCATATCTACCCAACTATCGTCCTGGGTATGACGATAAACTTCATCTGGCAGTAAGGCCTCTAATCGTAAGATTGGCGGTTTTGAGGAGCGTGGAACCATCTCTTAATTGCTGTTGTTCCCAGGTCCACTTTAACCCGGCATGGTAGCACCTATTAGTGTCCCAGCTATGGGTAAATAGTGTGCCCCCCAAACTGGGGCAAAACTCTATGAAAGTATAAAAATAGATTTTTATAGTGAAAATAGCATCAATGCATTTTCATAGTTAATAAATTACTAACATTAAATTGTTGAAGAAAAAAATACCATCAATATATTTTTGTAAAAAAAAAAATAAAATAAAATTTACCAGCAACACATTTCATTAAATGTCCCATAAGGAGTTGATATGCCGCTAAAGGAACACACAAAATTTGAATGTCCCAGTAAAGTAAGAGTTATCGGCCCTGAAAGTGGAATTGGCTCTCCGATTTCAAATTCAGACTCTATCTCGGACATTTAGTTTCGCACTAATGCCCTCGAGAAAGGGATGAATCCCCCTACCTACCCACTCTACTCCAAGTTATGAACTAAACAGCAGGGCAGATAGGACACGCTAGCCTTGAGTGGCAACCATTCTAAGAAAAAATCCATATTGACTCCAAAACCGTCGAGAAAACAACGGCACGAACACCCTAAGAATTCATTTCCTAGAAAAATAATGGCAATGCTTAGAAAAGAAAAAGAATCTGTGGACTCCCGACATTCTGATAGGACGTGCAATTAAAAAAGAAAAAAGAAATGTTCCAAATGGCTGCATAAGGTTTGTAATCTATAAAACAGAATGTCTATGTGTCTCTCTATGTGCTGTTCTGTCTGTGTGTTGTTCTGTCTGTGTGTGTGTTTGCTATTTATGCACATCCTCATTTCTCGACTGATTTCAATGAAATTATACGTACATGTTGTAAATTTTTTCAATCAAGCACCTCCGGGTTTGGCAGAAAAATTAATAAAACTGAAGGTGTGTACGAATTTTTACAAAAACCAAGGCAAAGTTAAACGCTAACAAAATGTTTACTGGATGAGCTGATGTTCTTTGTACTTAATGCAAAACTTGATAGTTTTCCTGCGACATTCGCTTCACACAAAAAATTGCTAAAAACTGAAAAAAATCGGGCTTTTCATACTACTTAAAATAAAAACTTGAATAGCTTCTTCATTTTTTAACCGGTTTTCTTCAAACATGTACACAGGGGGAAGGGCATGTTTTGCAGCCATGTGCACTCGGGCAGCGCCTGGGTACCTCGGCTAGTTTATATTATAAAGGAAGATATGATGATCTCTCTGTCACAGTGTCTGCATGCGCGTATGTAATGTATATGGTCATGTCTGGGTTCATACGTGACACACATGTGCTTCTGCTATTCCATGTATACAGACGTACACGTGCTCATACAATTTGACTGAGTTTGAAATAAGACACTGCAATATGATTTAAATAGTACATTTCCCTCCCAATCAGTCTGGACAACATCTAACATAGGTTGAGCAATAAAACCATGAATTTGTAGATAAAATCAGATAATCATAAGAGTTTATTGAATTATTTTGCAAATATTTTTTTTTATTTATAGAACTATTTTTTAGGTATGTACTTGAACTAAAATATACATACACCCACACAAACATACATACGCATGATTTAAATGGAATTTATTTGTTTATAATCAATTCGCACCAAACAAGGCGAAAACGCCACTAATTCGCAGAGGTCTATTGAAAACAAAAATAGAAGTAAAAGACTTTAGTGGCAACCATAAATCCCATAATAGGATAAATGTCATAGTTTAGACGGAGACGTTACAAGCATAGAGTTGAAGTAGAATTTAGAAGGGACCGAAAACCCAATCCTAAACAGGAATCAAGGGATAAACCGCTACTCCTGTTCAAAAGACTGGGGAGGACTGTGTCCGCTTCACGCACCTCCCCTGAATTTAAATATGGGTGAATTTTCCTTTCAGTCTGGCAACAAACCGTGGATAACAGGAAAATAAAATAAGCTGAAATGTAAAAATTCAAATCATTTTTATGGCATCTTCTGCGTTTAAACGGAATATATTTTCTAATAAATGTCATATTAAATGGAATTGAGATTTAGATTTGAAATTTGACCATCGTGCCGTCAAAGGTGTGACAGGTACCGAACTATTTTTTATTTGCTTTAAATGCAATATCCAAAAGATTATTATTGCTGTGCGTTTTGTGTCAAAATAAACAAAAAATGAAGAAAAAAAAACACTTTTGGGGAAGGAGCAGTGTCTAAATTGTTTTAATATTATTTATCTTGTTCTTTCCGACAGAAGGCATCCGATTTTAAACACATCCTGATGTGGGCAGCGGATGTTTATCAGCGGTGAAAAATAGAAACAGACGCAATAAATGCCGATGCTGAAGCTTCAGAATAAATATCTGAAATTCAACCGAAATTAATAAGTTTTGTTTTCACTCTTTTTGGATGCCTGCTTGTTTACGTTTAATTGTCTTGGATTGCATCTTTTGGCAAACAGACTATGCTATTATCTATATTATTGCTTTCTTCCTTTACTCTTTTTCTTAATCTTACATTCTTTCTTTTCTCTTTCTTTCTTTTCCTTTTTTTCTCTTCTTTTTCGTTCTCTTTTTCTTTTTTATTTCTTTTCTCTTTCTTTGTCCCTTATTTTCTTTCTTTTTTCTTTTATTTTTCATTCTTCATTTTCTTTCTTGTTTTCTTTCTTTTCATTTTCTTTCTTTCTCTTTTAGTTTTATTTTTTCTCGTTCTTTTTTTCATTTATCGTTATTTTCTGGGTTTTTTTCTGTTCTTTCATATTTTTTTTCATTTTTTCTCTTAATTTTTCATTCTTTCTTTTTTTTTTTCTTCCTTTTTTTCTCTTCTGTTTCTTTTCTCTTTTTCCTCCTTATTTTCTTTTATCTTTCTTTCATTTTGCTTTATTGTTTCTTTCATTTAAATTCTTTTCTTTTCTTTACCTTTCTCTTTTCTTTTTCGTTCTCTTTTCTTTTTCTTTTTTTACTCGTTTTTTCTTTCTCTCTTTTTCTTTAAATTCTTTTTAATTTTCTTCTCTGTCTTTTTCTTTTTTTCTTTTTCCTTTTTTATTTATTTCTCTTCTCTTGCTTTTTCATTCTTTTTTACTCTGCTAATTTTCCCTCTGAAAGTTCTCCAGTTCAGAGGGAAAATTAGCAGGAGATAACTGATAACTGACATCCATCAAACATGGCACGTGGAATTAGAACAGTCTACCCCAGTGATCGAAATAAAGGGTTCAGTTCGAAATTCCAACCACCTGAAGAAGGCCGGAGCGTACAACGGCCGAAACGTTGTGACAAATATGGCGACAAAGATGAGAACAATAGTCCGACTAATGTAAATACTGTACAGAAATGATACTATCTTTTTTCTTTATTTCTTTCTTTCTTTCTTTCTTTGTTTTCTTTCTTTCTTTGACTTTTCCTTCTTTGTTTTCTTTCTTTCTTTGACTTTTCTTTCAATTTTTCTTTCTTTCATTCATTATCCCATTGGCAGCAGTGCAGAAGATTCTTTTACTGCTTCCAAAAGAACTTTGCCTGAATATTGTTTTTTTTTTCTTTTCTCACATGCTTTTCTTTTCTATTGGGTAATTATCTGAAGAGTCTGGGTGCCATTCAATTAATTTGACGTTTTTGAATCCTTTCTTTTTTTTGCCAAGTGGGGATCGTTTTCAGCTTTGTAGAATATGAAAGACCATTGATTTCTTGTCCATTTATTTTGATGCTAACATCAAATCTCCGTTTATCTATCATTTATTACCTACAATACTAATCCAAAACATTCATCCTTTTCCTCGCTCCTATCTTTTAACAAACAAAAAACATCTTTCGGTCGACATACAGGTATATCGTCTCAAGTTTTTGATTTTATAAGGAAAAAAACACATGCCTGATGATGAATAGAAGACTATTCGTAAGTACTAGCATTTTAACATCAAATAAACTGAAAACTACAGACAACAAGTTTATCGACGAGGATCAAACTCGCACTATGGATGAACAGTATTTTAATGCATATATTATGTTTTCTAGCGATGGATGTCGCCAATAATCGCATTAATACTTCTGATTGATTCTATGTGATTATTTCTTTGTATATATATATATATATATATATATATATATATATATATATATATATATATATATATATATAAATAAAACAGACCACTTTAAGGTTCCATGTAATAAATTATTTCCCCACAACCTTTTTAAGGACTGCGGATCATCAGACTTTTACTTCCAAAGGTTGAAACAATTTTTTTTTATTTCAACTTTTGGAAGTAAAGTCTGATGATCCGCAGTCCTTTAAAAGGGCTGTGGTGAAATAATTTATTACATGGAACCTTAAAAATGGTCTGTTTTTATTTAAATTATTTGCTCTGGATTTACATTGAGCTCTCTGGATTTTATCCTCCTTGGGTTTACCCATACGGATTACCTAGTTTTTCATAAACTATATAAATATATATATATATATATATATATATATATATATATATATATATATATATATAGTAGTGTAGAGAGAGGTAGAGGTATACAATAAATATCAAAACACCGTCTACAATTTTAAATCAAAAACTTAAAAGATGCAGAAAATATTAAATTTTAAAACTCAGCATTTCTGTATCTATTTCTGTATATTGTTCTGGTTTTCTCAACTTCTCACTCTACTTGTTTGTACCTTTATCTCTCTTCCTCTCTCCCTCTCTTATATCTGTCATTCTCTCCCGCTCTATATATATATATATATATATATATATATATATATATATATATATATATATATATATATATATATATATCAGTATGTTCTCGTCTATTTTGTCTAGATAATTATCAGTAAACATTTCTCTCACACTTTTTCCTTCTTTTCTCACTCCTTTATGCTTTCTCACTTACTCTCCCTTCCTCGCTGCCATTCTCTCTTTCTCTCTCTTGCTCACCCTATCTCCCACTCTCTATTTTCCTCTTTCTCCTTCTCCCCCCCTCTCTCTCTATTTCTCTAATTTGGTCTCTCTCACTCACTCTCTTTCTCTTTCCTCCCTTCTCTCTCTCTCTCTCTGTATTTCTCGCTCCTTCTCTCCCACAAAAAGGTTGAGTATAAATAATTCAGTCAAGGTTATTGAAAGAAATCCCACAAATGCTGTCCATCTCTTATTGCATGGCGTGATGATAATGGTGGTCAAGATGGCCGATGACTGCTAGTCAGTAGGATGAACGGAAGCGAATCCTGAAGGATGATTGGTATGACCAGACAAATTAGTTTACTTTCGATCAATTTTAAAATATAAAGAATGAAGTAATTCCAAAAATATGTTTATGAAAAAAAAAAAATATATATATATATATATATATATATATATATATATATATATATATATATATATATATATATATTCAACAGGATAGAATCCAGGTAGAACTCAATGTCCAGGACAGAGTAAAAATATAATATAAAAAGGCTCAAATACTAATATTCCATGGTTATAATTTATTACACTGGAATCGTAATCTCGATACAATTCATCAATTCATATATATATATATATATATATATATATATATATATATATATATATATATATATATATATATATATATATATATATATATATATCTCTCTCATTATCTATCTATTTATCTACGTATGTGTTTGTGTTTCTTATTGCCATAAATGTTCTAATTGTGAATATACGTGTAGACTTCAGTGAAATTAATGTCTACCAGGCTAGATCTTCGAAAATTTTAACAAAATTATCGTAATTGGTTTTTGCCTATAAGCACCTGTCTACCCTGACGATAAATCCTGCTTATCTAACGTAGTTTCCAAGAAAAAATGGAATGCAGGTTCGATTTCTACCGTGACATACATTTCTTTAAAAAGATTGGCGATGATCTGTGCCGATAGACGTTAATAATATTGTTCGTATGCAAACAGCGACGACTACTCAAACACCTGTATCCCTAAAATTATTTTCCATCGTTAGTTTTCTCGACCATTACGCCTTGCTAATTCCTATTAAATAATGGACTCTTCCGTTTTGATCACGTGGAAAGAGGAGAAATATACCAGTTTATAAAATGTCATGATAGAAGTGTTTAACGGTGAAAAGGGAAAAGTTGTCCATTTCAAATCTTTTTATCCCTACCGACTTCGTAACGTAAAGACTTAAAATAAAATCTTTACTACTTTTCCACTCGATCTAAACGGAATAGTTTTCAATGAAAACTATTTTTAACCGTTGATCTGAGAAAACGGTTGTATATAGGTTACAGTTTAGATATTTCTGAATGTGTTGGATGTGACATGTGACATCCGCATGAGAGCTTTAATAAAGTATAAAAGCAAATTAACTATTGCTATTAAATATTAATATAAAAATATCATCTTATAGAGGTTAGTGTTCGTCTTTAATCATGCAATTTCAATATTTTCAGAAATTATACATGAAATATTTCGAATAAACCCAATTTACATCGAAATTAAATCATGATATCACTTTTTTCCCAGTTAATATCGATTTGTTTCGTTTAATACGTCAAAATATTTACTTTTTCAAGGTATAGGGTTGTTTTATGGGTGTAAAAATTGTAAATTACAAGCTTATGTAGGATAGATTATGGTTGACCCTAGATTTGACCCATTACAGTGTCCAGGGAAGCATCCTCTTGGGAGTTTGCTTCACGAAGTAGTCGTCTTGATACCCGGATGGAATTAACATAATACGAAGGGAATGAGAATGGTTCGCTCTTGTGTACATGGTATGGCGTGTCTTTGCTAAAAAGGTTTGAAGTCGGGTATTTAGGAAATGTAGCAGTAGTAAATCTTTCGCATCTAAATCTGTCTTAGACATTTCTAAATCTGCCATTCGTCCATGCACTGAATACTGTTGGATCAAGTTTGGTGCTTCTGCGATGTATTTAGAGATTCTTGATAAAATACAAAGAACAATCTGCAAGGTTATTGGTTATGATCTGGCATCCCGGCTTCAGCCACTTTCCCACTGCCGTAACGTGGCTTCCCTGTGACTTATCTATGAATATTTTCATGGTAATTGTTCTGATGCGCTTTACTCTTTGGTATCTAGACTTTATGAATTTAAGAGCAGTATTAGATTGGTGGCAAGATCTAATCAATTTACCGTTGAAATGGTTAGAAATAATCGTAAGTTCTATGCTAACGGTTTCTTCTGTCGCACTTCTTCGTTGTGGAACTCTCTTTCGGCTTCTTGCTTTCCATTCAACTTTGATCTTTAAAAATGTAAATGCAATGTGACCTTCTGTCTTCTTAATTCTTGTTCTTTTATTGTTCTCTCTCCTTAATAATGTTTTTCTCCTATTCTCTCACATTCCGCAACTCCTTGCGTCTTAGTGGAGTTATTACCTTGATTCGATTGAAATTTTATGTCCTTTTATTATTAAAAATCTATGCAGTTTCTTTTGATGCAAAGTATATGAAAATCATGAAAATTACCGAAATATTCATTTTGAAGCTACTAAAACATAGGATATTATGGCGTAGTTTTCTGATTTTCATTCTGTAAATGTTTGGTGCTGATTTCTTGATTTTTCCTTAAAAATGCTTATCACCTTAAAAATCGATTATCACTTTTGACTTTCGGACGTTTTCGAAAACATTTTTAAAAGTGTACCGATGAAATGATTCAATTGAAGTCTTCAGGTATCAAACCTATTGAATTAATAAAATATTGTAGACAGTCACAGCAACTGGACACTAGTACCAAAACTACATTTCGAGGTGGAAGCTGGAAGCGTGAAGAGATATGGGGGGGGGCGAGCCTTCACGATAGATTCGAGGATTCAACTGCCAAAATGTAGGCTAGGAATAGATTCTGGCGAGCTCGACGAGGAATTCGAGAGTTAAAGCCCCAAAGAAAATTTTGAAATTTGACAAATTACAGGGGAATCTGGGGGGGGTATATGAAATTAGTCCATATTCTAAGACCAACATTAGCTACTTTAACACATTGAATTATGATTCTGACACATAAAATGGCCTT